TCCCATGAGATGACAAATGAGGACTGTGTCAAGCCGTCGAGTTTGTGGTAACGCGTCACACAGCAAATAGAAAACTAGTCCAAATAGCATACTAAAAAAGCTTTTGAACTCAAATAGAAACTATCCCATATATTTTCTCCCATTTGGTCAGTAATACTAACAAATCCTCTTTGAAAACAGACTGTAAGAGAATGTAACAGAAAACACACCACCTGTCGTCACGGGAAGAACCAAGACTCAGTCAGCGTTCCTGGCCGCCTGGTCTATGCTGGCCAGGCCCGGTGAGGCCTACAGAAATCCTGCAGTGCCCACGTGGAGACCAAACAACTGTGCATAGTCACCAGGATCACTCTTCGACAGTTCTGATTTACATGATAAAAGTTTACAGAAAGGAGAAGCAACGGGCATCACCTCAGCTTTTAAAAATGCAAGAACTGGGGCAAGGTCTTCCCAGGTAAAGGCAATTGTGGGCCTAAACTTAGCCTCCTCATGAAAACCCATTGCCGTCAAGTCGATTCCGACTCACAGCGATCCTATAGGACACAGTAGAACCGCCCCACAGTTTCCAAGGAGAAGCTGGTGGATTCGAACTGCCAACGTTTTGGTTAGCAAATGTAGCTGTTAACTACTACACCACCAGGGTTCCTCATGAGTCATGTGATACTACAACCTTTAATACGGTGAGGTGGTTAAAAGCTTGAAATGTGGACGCAAAACGACGTTAGAATCCTAACTGCTTAACAGCTGTGTGGCTTTAGTTTAAGTAACTTGCCCTCTCTGACCCTCAATTTCCTCAACAGTAAAATGGAGGTGATCCACCGGGTTTCCACTGGCTGATTTTTGGAAGATCACCAGGTCTTTCTTCCTAGTCTGTCTTAGTCTGCACAATCCGCTGAAATCTGCTCGGCATCACAGCAACACGCAAGCCTCCAATGACACACAGGTGGTGGCTGTGCATGAAGTGCATTAGCCAGGAACGGAACCCAGGTGTACCCACGGCAGGTGAGAATTCTACCACTGAACTACCCCTCCCGAGCTAACAACAAAAACTGGAGGTAATTATAGTACCAACTGTACGTGGTATGGCGCTAAATTCGCTACGATCAGTTTTATTATTACTATAGTAAACATGAAATAGGCTATCAGATCACAGAGAATCTTTAGAGCTTGGACATAAATTTCAATGTTATGCAATGGAAATCAGGGAACAATCCAAGGTTTAAGTTGAGGTAACATATCTTTAGACCCAAGAAAATAATTTTTACTTTGCATATGTACATAATTTTGCTTAAAATATTTGTCCTATTGATATTCATTTATCTACTTTTTTTTTAAGTACGGACAATACACCAAACACGCTCTTAAGGATGGATGTAAACTGCTTTCTTCTGCAATTTTACCTTTAGTTACAGCTAAAATCATGACTCATTTTTGATCCAAGGGTATATTAACTAGGAGGCTACAAGGTAGAACTACAGAAAAAGGGTGGCTTGGGGGAGAGAATGCAGGTAAATCTCTGAATTAGCCTTCCTGCCTCTAACCTAACCTTGGGAGGCAATATCCTCAAAAAAATGTTTAAAAGGTCATTAATAACTTCTCAGAAGTCAAATCCAAGAGATTTTTCAGTCCAACTCTGCCTTGACTGCTTCACCAATTTGACACCGACCTCCTCCCCCTCTGGTCTTTCAGGGCTCTGTCCACCTGCCTCTGGGGCCACTCCAGTCTCTACCAGTGCCCAAGGCTGTCTCTGGGAGAGGTCATTTTGGACGCCACTGGCTTTAAACAATACGATGAAGTCCATCAAATCTTTATTTCCAGCCTGAATCTTTCTCTGGAGCTTCAGACCTACGTATCCAGCTGCCTACTATAGTAGTCCACCTGGCTGTCCTGCAAGCACTTCGAAAAACCAAAACCAAACTCATCTCTCTCTCTCCTGCAGTTTTCTCGATCTCAGTGGATGTCACCATCCAGTGAGTAACCCAAACTAGAAACGTTTCTTCCCTCCCGACACCCTTGCCCCAATCCACCCAGTCACCAAGTTGGGTCCACCCTAGTCCATAAACCTCTCTAATCCATCTGCTCCTCTGCTACCACTGCCACTGCCCTAACTCAAGGCAGTCAGGACTCAGGGTAAACAGCCTCCTAACTTCTCATCCCCCACTCAAAGCACCAACGCCTCTGCTTTCTAAAACGTCACCTCACTGCTTACAACTTCCTGGGAACGTTCTACAAGCCTTTCCTACCCCATTTTTCTATTCTTACTCTTTCCACTTCCTAGCACCCCCCTTTCCTGCTGCATGGCCTTGTGCTTACTCTCTCTGCAGACCACCACGCCCGTCGCGCCCCTGGCATCTGGTCAATTCTTCATGTCTCAGACCAGGAACCCCCTCCTCTAGACACTGTCTTTCCCTGCCTCCCCCGCACTCAGCACAGCACTTAACCCAATCTGTGGAACCTGCTGGAGCCCCTGGGCGGCACGATCCGTTAAGCGCTTGACTACTAACCAAAAGGTTGGTTGCTCTAACCCACCAGAGGTGCCTCAGAAGAAAGCCTTCCAGAAGGTCACAGTCTCTGAAAACCCTATGCAAGTTTACTGTTGTTGGCTGCCATCAAGCTGATTCCGACTCACAGCGACCCCACGTGTGCAGAGGAGAACTGCTCTGTAGGGTTTTCAAGGCTGGGACCTTTCAGAAGCTGACCACCAGGCCTGTCTTCCGAGGAGCCTCTGGGTGGGTTCAAACTGCCAACCTTCTGGCTAGTAGTCAAATGCTTAACCATTTGTGCCACCCAGGGACACCCTTATGTGGTGGTACCTGTCTACTTACAAAGTGCCCCGGTAGCGCAGTGGTTAAGCGCTTTGCTGCGAAGGAAAAGGTCGGCTGTTTGAACCCACCAGCCAGCTGCTCCGAGGAGAAAGATGTGCCAATCTTCTGTAAAGATTACAGCCTTGAAAACCCTATGGGGCAGTTCTACTCTGTCCTTTAAAGTCACTGAGTCGGAACTGACTCAACAGGACAGTAACTGTCTTTTATCTCTGTATCCCCAAATGCTTAGCACAGCACCTGGCATTTATTTGGTTCTCAACAGACATTTAAGACAACGCTTTCACAATCTTAGCTAATCATTTTCATTCTATCCCCTGCAATTTGGCATCTAGAATGTTCCATTTATTCTTATTTAGGATATTACTGATCAAGTCTTTACTACATACAATACTGGTTTCTCATATTCCACTTAAATGGTGGCAAAGCTACTAAAAATATTTACAGGTTATACCAATACTAGATTTACCCTTTTGCCTTTTCTATTTCTAATTTTCTTTCTACACAATTACATGATGCTTTAAGCTGGTTTATAGCCCTATATGGAAAACTACATACTGACTTTATCTTTTTGCAACACTGTGTAATACGCTTAAGAATGCAAGAAAACACTGAGGAGACTGTGTACCCCTCCCCAGTGGCATTCCCTCCCTCCCCCTGCTGGAATCACTGTGAGAACCCCCTGCATCTCTTCCTACCTGCTGAGAAAGGTAAACAGCAGGGCCAGGGGACGGCCCCTAGCCTGGCACCCCACCACCCCCACCACCCAGCTGCCTGTGCCAGCTGCAACATGATGTTGCATTCTTTGGTGACTTGGAGAAACTTAGAGTGCCTACCCTCCCACACAGAATTCCACACAATCTGACAATGTTAGTATTTAGTATCACTGTATTCTTCCAAACACTTAGGAAACACAACAAGGAGTCCAATTTCCCCTATAATTGAGGCTTGCTGCCAGTTCCTGAAAATGATAAATTCTGTAACTGTATCTGGAGATTTTAGGATGTCCTTCCAATTTCCTAATGGGCATTTCAGCGAATTATTACAATATATTCCAACCTACTGATTCTGACCAAAGGCTTAGTCACGCTGTACCAAAAAAAAAAAAAAAAAAAAAAGCCTTGGAATTTAACTAAGCAAAGAATGAAAGATCCAGCTGATCTTTTACATCGCAGTTTACATAGTAGATCAATCTCAAATTTTTGCTGTTCTCCCGCTTTATAAAAACTTATTTTTGCAAGTACTCCTTATCACATGCTTACTACGTAAATTCTTAGCATCTTCTTTAAATAAAACGAACACGTAGCAACAATTCTAACAACAACAAAAAAAACCTGGAAATGACCTACAAATCTTAGGTTAAAAAGCCATGCAATCCACCACGATTAATTTTGCTTTTTTAATGTTTTATTTTCATTTAAAGAATGGGGTGTACAAATTTTGCAACCGAGAAAGTACTCTGGGACGGAGGCTGCGGCCAGTTTAGTCGGAGCAACGCCAGCCTAGGCTAACGTTGTGGACGGCAACCTTTCCCATCTGGCTAGTAAAAGAAAGCGATGGTGGCGAGCGATGCCGAGCCGGCCTCCCCAGAGGGACCCGCGCGGCCAAGGGGCTGGAAGCCGGGGCGGCTCCCGTCGCCCGCGAGGATGACAGGCGCGTCCGCCCAGGGCGGTGCCGCGGGAGAGGGCGGGGGCCGGAAGGAAAAGGGAGGATCCGGACAAAGCAAACCGGGGCCGGCTGCCCTCCTCCCCACCCGCCCCGTTCCCGGGGGCGGCCACATCCCCGGTGGCGCGGCTCCGGGGCACGCAGTTGTTCCCGGGAACGGCCGCCCCTGCCCGCGGCAGGACCGAACCGGGGATGCGGGGCCGAGGGGGGCCGGGATAGAGGCGGGGACCGGCATGAGGAAGCAGGGTCCAGCGTGACAAGACGGGCTGGGATGGAGGAAGAATGGGATAGGGATGCGGGGCCGAGGGCGGGAGGGTGACAGGCACGGAGACCGGGATGAGGATGCAGGGTCCAGGGTGATACGAGGGGCTGGGATGGAGAGGAACCAGGGCCGAGCTCGGGAAGCCGAGGGTGGGGAGGGAGACACGATGGGACTGGGATGCGGATGGGGGGCCGAGATGGGGCTTAGAATCGGGCCGGGACCCGCCCTCGCGGCGCCACCGCTGCACTCACCGTCCTGCTCCTGCGGGGGCCGCGCTCGCCACGCGCGGGCAGGACGCGGCGGTGCTGCGCGCTGAGGAGCCGCCGGACGCGTGCGCGGAGGAGTGATGCTCTGAGGGAATGCTGCCGGGCCCGCCGCCTCAGCCGTTTCAGGCGCAGCGCCGAGGTCACAAGCGAGGGATGCTGACGCGGCCGCTGCCGCCCCGCAGCATCCTCGCTGGCCCGCACGCTGTCCCTGCAGGCGCCGAGCGCAGTCTGCAATTCCACTCCTCGCAGCCGGTTCCGCCGCCCGCTCCGCTTCCGCCGCCGAAAATGGCGTCTCCTCCCTCCCGGCACGGCCGGCTCCGCCCCACAATGCCGCGCGCCGCCGCGCCCCGGATTACGTCACCCGCCCCCGCGCGCCGGGGGCGGGGCCTGTGCTCGGCGCTGGGTAGCGAGGCCGTGGGGCCCACGCGGAGCCCAAAGCTCTTTCGTGCTCAAGCTTGGCGGCCGAGGCTGGGGGTCGTCGCCGGGCGTGGCCGCGGGGCTCCGCGGGCCTCTGGGGCTCCTTTCCCCCAGAAGTCTGGGGCACGGCGAGGTGCGGCCCGCGTGGCGTGCTCGGACGTGGCTGTGGGGTGACCTGGCCCTTCGGCCACTGCCGGTCCCAGCATGTGCCCGCCCGGACTGTGGTCGGAGGAGGCGTCTGCCCAGTCCACCCACGTCCCGGCCTCGGCCCACCCCGGGCGTGTTCGGCGCCAGACCCACGCTTTTGTGTGCAAGCCAATATGAGGCTGATGCGCCCCCTAAAGTCCTTCCAGAACCTGCAGGGAGGGCTCCCGTCGGCTCCCTCAAAGGACAGGATGCTGCTGACCTGCTCAGCCGGTGGCAGACTCGAGGTCTCCCGGCCAGCAGGCCTGCCTCTCTTCTCCAGGAATACTACCCTGACCCCCACGCCCTCCCCATCTCATTCCCTCTCTGACAGCCCCAGGAGCCTCAAAAATGCAGCTCAAGGGGACTTTCCAGGCGCGCCCCTCGGCCACAAAACCCTCACACAAACTGCGGTTGAGGCTGGGGGAAGGGCGGGATGCTGGACCAGCCGTGCCTGGCCAGAGAAGAGATGCCCACCTCGGCTGTCGCACCCTGGCAGCCTCCTGGCCGCCTTGCACCGCACACCAATTGCTGCCGCGCCTCGACCTCCAGTCCGCCTGAAGGGCAGTACTTCCAGGTCAGAGAGCGCCTGGGTCCCGTCTTGCCGCATCGCCAGTGCTGCAGGCTGACTCAGCAGCCAGCCAGGCGGCCGGTGCTGATGCAGGAGGCCCAGCTCAGCCCTCTGCCTGCAGCCAGCTTGGGAGATCCCTCCCTCCGGGGATCTGCAAATGTCCCAAGGGCCAGGCGGTTCCAGTGCCAGCCCCCGCCCTTGTGAAGCGCTGTCCTCTCCAGATGGTGTCACCCCACACTGGCAGCCTTGTTTTGACCTGCGGTGATGCAGGGAAGTAAGTGCTCAGATTGGCGCAGGGAGGTCCAGCTACTTTGATCTGATTTCGGAATGCAAAGGGGGCCTCCTAGGGTGACCCAGCAATTACAGGGCCCAAGGGAGAGGCCATGAAGCGGAGGCAAGCACACAGTGATTCTGGCCAAACCACAGCTTGGCTGTCACCTGCCCTCCTGTGCCGCTCCTCAACCACGGTTAGGCTGGGCACAGCAGCTGTAAGGAAGGGCCCCGGTAGGTGTCCCCTGACTCACTGCCAGGTGCTGCAGGGGAGGGAGGAGCAGGCCAGGTGGAGGAAGGGGCACCTCCGATCGCGCATCACTCAAGCGAGAAACCTGAGGCCCTCTTCCCTGTGCCCGCTTCCCACAGGCGGCCGGGATTCTACCTCCTTAACATTCTCTTAGGTCATTGGTGGTCAGTGGTAGATTTCTTGCCTTCCGCGTGGGAGACCTGGTTCGATTCCCAGCCAATGCACCTCATGTGCAGCCACCACTCATCTGTCAGTGGCGGGTTGCGTGTTGCTGTGATGCTGAACAGGTTCTAATGGAACGTCCACACTAAGATGGACTAGGAAGAAAAACTGGGGGTCACAACAACTCATTGCCACGGGGATGGTGCAGGGCCAGGGAACATTTTGTTCCGTCGTGCACGGGATCGCCGTGAGTTGGAGGCCCGACCCGAGGCCAGCCAACAACATTGCTTTGGTCCGTCCACCGCCACTACCTGTGCAGCTTTGTTACCGCGTTCTTTACTCCTTCAACAAATATTTGCTGAGCTCCCGAGATCCGCACAAATAAGGGCCAAGGATACTGTTAGTGAACAGAATAGATAAGACCCCTGCTATCGGGGAGTTTCCGTCCTGCGGAGGAGAAGCAGACCAAAAGCACATAAGCAGAGAACTATCGGATCAAGCTGGCTATGCAGAGAATTAAAGCAAGGTGGAGCAACAGGCAGAGCCCGGGTGGTGGGCGAGGCAGGGGAAGGGAGCAGAGCCCTCGTGGCAGGGAGGAGCCGGTGTGAGAAGCCAGGGGTGCTCCAGGCAGAAGTCCACAGGGAGGGAGAAGCCAGGGTGCCGGGGAGGAGACACGGATGCATCCTCCACCACGTGGTTGCTTCCCTCCTGGGAATGCTGCGATGCCCCCATTGCTCTGAGTCAGGTTCTAACTGCTTAGCTTGGCTCACAAGGCCCTCGGGAGCTGGTGCTCAGACTCCCTCCGCTCTGGCCCCCAGGCACCCTTGCCCAGCCCTGTGTCCACCCTGCTTTCCCACATGGCCACGCCCCTGTACATGGTGTCCATTCTGCCTAGAAAGTTCTCTCTCCCTCCTTGTCCTGGCGCACTCCCTCAGGACCAGCCAAGGGCTCTTCCTCCAAGAAGCCTTCCTGGCCAGCGCACTCTGAGTCAAGCCTCCCCTGGCTTCTCCACCTAGTGCCCATCTATCTCACTGTGTGGTCAGCTGGCCTCCCCCCTCAGACCCTCAGAGCGTGAGCATGACAGCAGGAGTGGCCTGTATCCTCCTTGTCCCTAGGCCCAGCCACATGCCCCACAAGACGGCCCTGCACCCTGCACTGGGGAGCTGACCGCCCTGTGGGGCCTGAGCCAGGAGGCCCAGAGAAATGCTGGGGGTTCACCCCTCATCCGTCAAGGATCCAGGAGATTCTCGTACAAGGGCCCTCACGCGGCAGGCGGGAAGAGTGACGTGGGAGAAGGCCCCCATGGGGGAGCTTTGAGAAGAAAAGTGCGAAATGACTGTTGTTTCCAGCATTCGTCATTTCACTGTAAATGCCTGTGGGTTTGGGGGAAGGCGGGTGCTGGGACTGGCTTTTGATGCTGAGAGGCCTGCAGCCCAGTGGCAGCTGGGGTCCATGAGTGCTTGGAGGGGAGAGGGACGGGAGGAGGAAGGGAGATGGGGCAGGAGGCAGGCAGGACGGGCTTTTAAAACCCGCCCTCATCCGAGCTGCTGGGCCTGCCTGGTCTGTGGGCAGAGGGAAGGGGGAATGAGTCCCCGGCACCCCCAGCCTGGGTGGGGAGGGCAGTGGGCTTATGGCCCCAGGGGCCGGTGCTAATTTGGGCACGGTCCTGCCTTGCTCCCTGTCATGCCCTCTCTGGTCTCTGGCTTCATTGTCAAAAAGTGGAATTTATCAGGTTTTTAGAGTTTTTTTCCTTTAAAGAGCTCAGCCGTCAGGCAGAAAGCTCCAGGAGCTGTTCGTTTCCTCTGAACAAGGGGAAACACCAGCCCCATCGCCACCCCTTTGGATGAGAGAGAGATGGGGTGAGGGAGGAGGGTAGCGCTAAGGTGAAGTCCATCCTTCTCTGTCTCTCACAGACACATGCACATTTTTCTGAGAATAGCGGGGAACTGAGGCTTGCAGGAGAGAATGGACACCCAGCATGGGCACCCCAGCTCAGCTCCCTGGCCTCTCAGCCTTAGAGCAGGGGAGGTTGTGGTGCTGGTCTCACAGGTGGCCCCAGTGAACAAGACCCCCGGTACTCCCATCTGACCATGCAGCACCCTCCCCTGAACTCTGGATCAGCCTGTTTGCTGAATGTGGATGAAGAAACGCTGTGCCGGTCCCAGGCTGCGCCTGAAGGAGGCCTGGCAGCTTCACGCTTGTGCTTTTGGGAGCCCTGAGCTGCCAACTGAGAAGGCCGCTGCCCTGCAGGAGAGGTTGAGCCCATGGAGACAATGAAGGCCAGCCTTCCAGCTGTCCGCAAAGGGGTGCCAGACTCAGGAGTGAAGCCATGTTTATGGCCCAGCCACAGCTGACAGAGGGACCCGTGGAAAGTTTGAATGGGGGCAGGGAAGCCAACAACGGGGTCAGATCGGTGCCATAGAAAGGTCAGTCTGCCTGTGTGTACATTTGGACATTTCACACACATTCATAGAGCCCCAGATGTGTCTCTGGACCTGTGCCAGGTGCTAGGGACGATAATATTCTAAGTGATCAGGAGAATATGTGTCCTACTTCACCCCCTTCTGAGGAATCATGGAATATGTTGGGAAAACTGGAGACTTGACCGATTGTGGTTGCTTAAAAAAGGTAATGTCAGAAGACAGAAATGGGGCATTGACACTACTGAAATAATTTACATCTAGTTTGATAAACACTACGATAGAGGTAGATCGGAGATCACATGTTAGAATTTTACAAGACCAACAACTGATTAATTGGAAATGCCTTTTGCAACAATATAAACAGTGACTGTACACATGGACCTCAGCAGATGGAAAACACAGGAAATTAAACTGATTACATCTGTGGAAAAAAATGATGGAGAAGCTTAACATCAGAACAAGGTTATCAGAACAAGGTCAGGGGCCGACTGCAGAACAGACCATCAATTGCTCATATGCAAGTTCAAGTGGAAGCTGAAGAAAATTAAAACAAGTCCATGAAAGCCAAAGTACAACCTTGAGTGTATCCCACCTAAATTTAGAGACCATCTTAAGAATAGACGTGATGCATTGAACACTAATGACTGACGACCAGATGAACAGTGGGATGACCTCAAGGGCATCATACATGAAAAAAGCAAAAGGTCATTAAAAAGACAAAAAAGACCAAAGCTGATGTCAGAAGAGACTCTGAAACTTGGTCTTGAATGTAGAGTAGCCAAAGCAAAAAGTAGAAATGATGAAGTAAAAGAGCTGAACAGAAGATTTCAAAGGGCGGCTCTAGAAGACAAAGTAAAGTATTATAATGACGTGCAAAGACCTGGAGTTAGACAATCAAAAAGGAAGAACATGCCTGGCGTTTCTCAAGCTGAAAGAACTGAAGAAAAAATTCAAGCCTCAAGTTGCAATATTGAAGGATTCTATGGGCAAAAACTGAATGATGCAGGAAGCATCAAAAGAT